CCTCGGGGAACATGCTTTTTTATTTTTTTTATTTTTTTTTACTGTCCTAGAATAAAGTGCAATTGCACTTCCACTACATTAGGGGGCAGTGGCGCTCTCATTGGCAGAGTGTGCGCAGGGAGCATTCGCTCGGTGGTGTAGGAGTTTTGTTTGCACTGAGCATGCGCGCTTTGCACACAGCACAGAGTTTGAGTATGAGAGACGGAGATAAAGAGACAAACGAAAATCTCCCGAAAGCTAAGACGAGGAAATATGACGAAGCGTATGTAGCGCTTGGCTTCACTGTGACTACGGTGGGAGACGAGGAAAGACCGGTGTGTTACTGTGTCTAAAAATGTTGGCAGCCGACAGCATGAAGCCCAATAAATTAAGGCGTCACTTAAATACATTACACCCCAGTCACTCTGATAAGCCGCTTGAGTTTTTTCAGCGAAAACGTGCCGAATATTGCCGACAATCATCCCGCTTTGTGACTGCTACTTCAGTAAACCAGCGAGCGTTGTTGGCATCATATAAGGTGGCAGTGTTACGCAGAGGTGTACTTATAACAATTTTATAGACAAATGATACTATTTATAGTCACGCGGGGGGGCGCGAGATGTTTTATTCTTCCTAGGGGGGGCATGACAGAAAATAATTGAGAAGCACTGACCTATCCCAACGTGCATCAATGCTGAAGAATAATCACGTAGAGAGTTCAGAACTGGCTCCGGCCAAATAACCTCGGAACCATCCACACCGGAACCAGCACGAGACCCACGGGAGACCACTGCCATCCCACATCAAGGATCACACCCGATTGCCACAGAGAAGCACCTGAGACTGGCATCGAACTCTTTCCCCAGCCCCAAGACCAAGCTCTGGATCCCAGCGCCCGAAATCACTTAAAATAAATAAAGAAATAATAATAATTACTATATTTTCGGATTATAAAGGCGCTCTTAAAATCCTTTAATTTTCTCAAAAATCGACAGTGTGCCTTATAATCCGGTGCATTATGTATTAATTCTGGTTGTTCTTACTGACCTCAAACTGATTTTATATGGTACACGGCACTCAAAAATCTGTCAAAATGTTTTAGTACGACTTTGGTAAACTACAAAGCCGCACCTCTTGATGGATTGTCAGAAAATTACGGCTACTGTAATCAGGAGCCACATGGAGTAAAGGATGAAGTTTAGTTCTGCGCTGACATTTATGAAATCAGTGAAATGCTACAGAGAATATATGTCCATTCACATCTACGGTCTATGTGTACGACCTGCAGACTTAGTCCAACAGAAGCTGAACTGCATCAGTGCATCAGAGGGAGCTCTTTTTTCAGCGCTTATAGTTTATGCAAATGAGCCATGTGGTTTTAAGTTTTGTTTCTGTAAAATGTAAAAAAAAAAATGTGCACAAAGCTACATTAAACATATGATTAGGGTTAGGGTTATTACTCAATGTATATTTTAGTTCTTCTCACACGAAATAAAAACTGGTGTACAGTGTACGTCCGTGTACCACGCCCACTACACCCCTGGTCTTCCTGGTTTGTGAAGAGAGCGTGAATAGAGCCTATTGTGCTTGTGTGTGCTCTATAGTTATAATCTATGAAACCCGTGGATCATTCTGTTATAATTTAGACATTTTAAATCACAATATTCATCTAAAACGATTTAATAACAGAAACAAGTGCGCTGACTTCATCTAAGCGCTGCATGCTGTGGACCCCTCCTGTGGATATCTGCACATCACACTAGAGCAGAGCTTTTTTTTTTTTTCATTTGTACCAAAATGACAAAGCAACGCTGTTGAATCCTACGTATATCACCAGTCAAAAATATAATAGACTGGAGAACAAAGTGAATACAGAACAGTGGCTTGGAAATAAGTGATTAAAGATTACTCAAACGAATCACTCCACGAATCACTCCAAATGCAGCGGGTGAGTAAATGATGAGGGACACTACTGTAAAAGTCTGTTTTGCAGAATAGCTCTGATTTTAATTACTGTAAACTGGCCAAACTGTCTGGAGTCTTTTGCAAATCCCTGAGCCTCTGTGTGTGTGACTGTGTTGGTGGTGTTTAGAGGAGCCAATGGTGCAGATTGGCAGCCTCGTTTCTGTCAGTCTGCCCCAGGACAGATGTGGCTACTAGTAGTTTATAACACCGAGTGTGGAGTGAGTGAAGAATGCCCCAAACTGTAGAAGAGAAAGCCTTTGTTTACATTCTACACAGTGTAATGAAATGAGAGCTGCTCCTTCAGAGTGCATCAAACTAAAACTACTATCAACTACTAACTACTACACATATACAATCAAACTTGTGCAAAACTCACCAGGGTACACACACAGACACACCAGTGAAACAGAATAAAGTGACTAAAGTGGCTAGCAGCATTACAGCACTGACATTGACAGTGCAGATGAACAGTTCTCAGTGAAGTTGAGTTTAATATGGTGACAGCTTTGGGAAAGAAGCTGTCCCTAAATCTATTTGTTTTGGCTGGTGTGGACGTGAAGCGCCTGCCAGAAGGCAACAGGTTGAAGAGGTGGAAGTCGGGGTGTGTGTTGAGTAAAGTGGGCAGAGTGACTTTGTACACTGCAAATAAATGTCTCTGATCTGGCCAAGATTATATAACTTATATCTGGTTATTTGTCTTGTTTTTAGATGTATTATCGCAGAGGTGTGCAAAAATATTGAAATACTGATATATCGTATCGTTTAATGTGATGATACAGTATCAATATCATGGGCTGCTATATTGATATATGGCCAAGAGTATTTTTGTTCTATTTTACTAAATTATTTTGTTACAGCTACAGTTTTGTTGCCTGATTCATCAGCCGGTTTCACTTCATTTCACTTCGTACAAACGGTCTGACCTCACACTGTTAGAATGGTAGGCAGGTCATTTTTATCATTTAACCAATCGCTGCCATTTGTTTGTGATGTATGTAATGCACCACTAAAGGGGTTAACTGGTATATTAAGCTTTTCCCAAATCCTCTAGGAAGAAGGACAATAACGTCTTTCCCCTTGATAAAATTCCCCAAACATTCTCTTTGTTCCGGCTTTAAATCCTCGATCTCAGGAATCATTGCCAACACTGAATATATGACTCTTCACTGATTGGCTGGTGCCCGAACTCACACTTCCGGGGTTTTTGCGAACTGTCTAATGTATTCTGATTCCTGACCTAGTCACTGGAGAGAAATGAAATTGAGTTGAGGCACTAGGTGGCGCCAGACTGGCTAAGAGTTTTGTTGTTTGTTCAGAGGAAGAAAACTCATTTATGCGACACATTTGACATTTTTACAGTTTTGATGATTAAAATGTTTGTGTTTCATATGAACTTTGCACAAGAAGTGGTTTAACAAAGATTTTTAGTATCACAGACATGAATTAAACTTTATTTTTTATTGAACTGTATCAAATCGATTTGAAATATATCATATTGAATCGTATCAAATCAAAAGCTCACTGTATCATGATATGTATCGTATTGTGGCTTCTCTAGTGAGGTATGTATCGTATCGTGGTGTATGTGTCGAGGTTTGTATCGTATCGGCAACTTCTGAATGATACCCAGCCCTAGTCTAGAGGTTGTTTATTTTATAATAACTTGTCCAGTAAAATGATCTTGCTGCATGGATGGATCATGTCACTACTTTTAAATCATTTTCTGATACATCTTAAGTTTTATCCAAGCTTTTTTGCAGTGTGTCTGTAAAATCTCTGTATTAGACTAATGCATTATTATTATTATCATTGATGCTGGGCCTCAACATTGGTAGAATTTGTGTTTGAATATTTCTTTTCAAAATTGTAATGAAATAAAAGTATACTTTGAAAGATGTGATATTAGTTACTGTGCAGTAGTGACCTTCCTGCACCTCCTTCTCTCTGTCCTACCTCTCTCCCTCTATCTCTCCATCTCTGTCTATCTGTCACCCACACCTTTTGTGCGCCCACACCTCTCCCCCTCCCTCCTCCCTCCTCTGTCCTCTTCCTCCTCCTCTGTCCTCTCTCCTCTCTCCTCTGTCTCTCTCTCTCTCTCTCTCTGTCCTCTCTCCTCTCTCCTCTCGTCCCTCTCCCTGTTTCTCTGTGAAGTGTCCGGCTCTGATCGGTGACTCACTTCAGTGTGAATGTCACTGGACTTTCACTGCACACATATAAATAGCTGCAGATGGTAAAGGGTCGTCTCAGTCGTCTTTATAAGTTTGTTTAAATGTTAAATTGTTCAGTGGTACAAAAGTAATGATGCGATCGACTGACATGATACAGACAGAACAGAGGCTCTTTCTGCAGGAGACATGTGCAGTAGAGTGAAGTGACAGTGGTACAGGAGGAACAGGAGCAGCAGATACTCACACACAAACCTAGAGCGCCCTCTTGTGGCTTCACTGTGAAAATTTTAATACATAAGTCGCACGAACGCAAGAACCACCCAAACCATGAAAAAAAGTGTGACTTATTAGTCCAAAAAGTACGGTACTCACCATAATGAGTTTATAAGTACTTTTCACAACTTCCAGAAAGCAGATAACAAATATTTATTTATTTTACTGCTGTTCCTCTATTTGTCTCCATTAAGGTAAAAGTGAAGGTTCTCTGGTCTCAGTAATGTCTATTCTGTAAATGACCCTGTTTGACTCCTCTATAAAACACAATGGACAGAAAAAAAGTAATTCTTCACTTACCTTATGTATTCAAAGTATCATAATTATTCACCAGGACGAGTTTATAAGCACTTTCCCAAGTTTCAGAGTCCAGGATTAGATGCAGACAGTCCACAGCGACTTATTTTGGCTTCAGGAGCCTCTTATACAATACATCTGTACTGGGACAGGACACATTTTACACAGATACATGGGAAATATGAGGTAGAGAGATTTCAAATGCACGTCTGTTCAATTACCAGTGTTTTATTTGCTCAACAGTCCCTTGAAAAACCTGCGTTCTTACCGTGAGTGGGGTCAAACTGTACATGTTGACTGCTTGTGTTGTGTTCACAGCGATCCATGAGTTCCCCAGAGACTACTTCACCAACTCCGAGAGGATGGAGGGAGCGGTGGGGCTGCACGTGCTCTGTGTGAGTAACAGTTTTTTTCATCGTAAACCACAATATGTACTACCAGTCAAAAGTTTGGACACGCCCACTTGTAAATCTGTGCAATTAACTGAATTTTGATCATGATTTAGATTTGTGTCAAATAATCTCCAAACTTATATAACTGAGTTGAAATAACGTGCTGGTGAAAGTGAGGACCGGGCCACGATGACTGGAGTTTTGCGAGGAACAAAGTTTATTTTGGAATATTTTTTTATATTAATAATAGGGGTGTAACAATAACCGAAATATTGTGATATTGTATCGTCAAAGTTCTCACAATAATATCGTGGACCATCACAATGTATAGAATTACAAGTCTCTTTGCTTAAATTAAAAGTTATGGTGCAGCAACAGCTAAAAAAAGACAGAGGGAACTACATAGACCATGATCCTTTGCTCCATTTCAGTGTAGACTACAAGAAGAAATAACAGATCTAACACTTTTGAGTCTTAGTTCTTTGGATTAAGTCTTGTCAAGGATTTTTAAGAGGAAAAAGTAGCATATTCACAGTTTTGTCAACTTCCACACCGCAATAAACATCGTACCGTGAGATGTAGATCATGAAAATATCATACCGAGATTTGGATTGGATTGTTACATCCCTAATCGTGAGCTTTCCCATGACATTGCAATAAATATCGTATTGTGAGGTTCATACTGTATCGTGAGACTTGAATATTGTTACACCCCTAATAAATAAGAATATTAAATAAGTATATTTATTTATTTTTATTAAATATATATATATATATATATATATATATATATATATATATATATATATATATATATATATTTTTTTTTTTTTTAATATAGAGATTGTAGAACAGCTGGAAATGCAGTTTATTTTGGATACATTTATGTTTTTCTGTCTTATTTCATGTTCAAAGTATATTTTATGTTTTACACATCGCAAAACTGCAATTTGAAAGTTCTGCATAAATTATCAATAACAAAGTGGGGGGGGGGGGGGGGGTTGAGAGAAATGCTGAATAAATGCATCGTGTAACTAAAAAAATATCGTTTGAATAATCGTGATTTCAGCATTGTGAGAATTTTTTTTTTTTTATAATCGAGCAGCTTTACCCACTCGTTCATTTAGAGCTGGAATCACAGTGTCCCTCACGATTTGATACGATACATGGTACATGGCTCACGATACGATCTTATCATGATATGGTGATATGTGTCATAATCAATATTTTTGCAGACACCTAAATTCATAGTTTATTTATTGTTATATTTTGTATCATTTTTTGTCAGTGTGGTTTCATCTTTCATTGTAATTTTTGTTGAATATTATTATTTTTATTTGTGTTTATAGTTTAATTTGTTGTGATTAAGATTATTATATCACAGAGACTATGAATACATTTTTTTTCTTTTTATTACTTTCTACTAGGGATGGGCATGTTTAGTCGATTAATCGATAATTGATCATCAAGAATTTCGTCGATTACGTTCATTTTAATCGACAAACCGAATGTAGGTTGCTGTGCGCTATATTCCACTGAGTCGGGTCTTTCAGTCCAACAGTTGAACGGCATCAGCGCACAAGTGTTTTTTCCTTCGCTTAGTTTATGCAAATGACCCATGAGGTTGTAAGTTTGGTTTCTGTGAGAGTTGCGCAAATCTGCATTAAACACATTATAATGTCAAACGAGCTGATGTGGCTCTAGAGTGGTGATTTTTATATGTCGTAAAGTTGAATTTATTTATGCAGATTAGTAGTGCAGATAGTAATAATAATGATCATTTTAATATAAAAACGTTAATGATTAATGAAAAACCTATCGTTAATTCTCTCAACGATCGATTAAGAAAATTTAATTGAATGCCCGTCCCTACTTTCTACATTTTGTATACATACAGAAGACACCAAATATATGAAGTAAAATGTATGGAGTTATGGAGGAAAGAAAAAGTAGCCACCTTTCTATTGTCGAAAAATATTTAGTTGTGTATTTTTTTGTATTTCCATATATCTTGCATATTTGATGTCTTCTGTGTGTATCTAAAATGTAGACAGTATACAGAAAAAAAATTGCCTCACCTCCTCATTTCACTGTTGCGAGCTGCTCGATTTTTATTGTTAAATCGTTCATTAAAATTTTTTAAGAGTTTTTTAACATTTACAACTAAGTAGAGGGAATTAATTAAATGAAAGTTTTACGAGTTTATTGCCATAATGTGGAACATCTCAGGCAATATCAGAACATCTGTTACTGCCTGGTACCAGAGCTACCAGCAGGTACCAGAAAGGTTAGTTCCTCTTTAATCAGACATTAGATTTTAAATATGGAGTTAAAACAAAAAATGGTCTGATGTTTGTCCAAATAAACTCAGATCCAGACACAGATATTAGCTGAATGGCCGAGATTTTAGTGTTAGTGTTATTTAATCCTCCAGGCGCCAGATGTTTGGCCTAAAACATCACTAAAGCATTTTCCCTCTGGACCTTTATATGACCTCTGCCTCTCTGCCCGCTCACCTCTGTGCCCGCTCACCTCTGTGCCCGCTCACCTCTCTGCCCGCTCACCTCTGTGCCCGCTCACCTCACCTCTGTGCCCGCTCACCTCTGTGACTCTGTGCCCGTCACCTCTCTGCCCGCTCACCTCTGTGCCGCTCACTCCTCACCTCTGTGCCCGCTCACCTCTCTGCCCGCTCATCACCTCTGTTCTACCCGCTCACCTCTGTGCCCGCTCACCTCTCTGCCCGCTCACTCACCTCTGTCACCTCTGCCGCTCACCTCTGTGCTCATGTGCCCGCTCCTCTTGCCCGCTCCCTCTGTGCCCGCTCACCTCTGTGCCCGCTCACCTCTACCCGCTCACCTCTCTCTGTCACCTCTGCTCCTCTCACTCTCTGTCACCCGCTCTGCTCACCTCTGCTCAGGCCCGCTCACCTCTGCCCTCTGCCGCTCACCTCTGTGCCCGCTCACTCTATGCCCGCTCACCTCTGTGCCCGCTCACCTCTCTGCCCGCTCACCTCTGTGCCCGCTCACCCTGCCTCTGTGCTCACCTCTGCCCGCTCACCTCTCTGCCCGCTCCTCTGTGCCCGCTCACCTCTGTACCCGCTCACCTCTGTGCCCGCTCACCTCTGTGCCCGCTCACCTCTCTGCCCGCTCACCTCTGTGCCCGCTCATGCCCGCTCACCTCTGTACCGCTCACCCTGCTCACCTCTCTGCCCGCTCACCTCTGCTCACCTCTGTCCCTCTCACCCTGCTCACCCTCCTCTGCCCGCTCACCTCTGTGCCCGCTCACCCTCTCACCTCTGTGCCCGCTCACCTCTTGTGCCCGCTCACCTCTCTCTGCCCGCTCACCTCTGCCTCTGTGCCCGCTCACCTCTGTGCCCGCTCACCTCTGTGCCCGCTCACCTCTCTGCCCGCTCACCTCTGCTCACCTCTCACCTCTCTGCCCGCTCACCTCTGTGCCCGCTCACCTCTGTACCCTCTCACCTCTGTACCCGCTCACCTCTGTGCCCGCTCACCTCTGCTCACCTCTGCCCGCTCACCTGTGCCCGCTCACCTCTGTGCCCGCTCACCTCTGTGCCCACTCACCTCTGCCTCTGTGCCCGCTCACCCGCTCTTGTGCCCGCTCACCTCTGTGCCCGCTCACCTCTGCCCCTTTTGCCTAAACCCGAGACTAAACCGAGACTAAACCAGGACTGAAGCAGGACTAAACCATAAAAAACTTCAGTCTAACTTTTCAGTGGTTGGTCTGCAGCTTGTCTGTGTAGAGTCACTTTCCCTGTAAAGATTTACAGTACAAAAAATATATTCACTTTAATTTATTACATGAGATTTTAATGGAAAGAAAATAAAAAATTAAAACATGTGTTTGCACAAAAATAAATATCCTGGCCTGTCTGCAGATCTGACCAGTACTTTGGCCTGGTGCCACCACCTGCTTGTTTCCTTGGAGATGCAGAAGTTTAATGCCATAGTGCAGAACATTCCATGGCGACAAGGCTGAGGTGTCCAAAAGTACTTTTCAAAAATAATGATACAACATAATGGGCCTTTGAAAGGACACACACCATACAAAAATATTTTTTTACCAGGAGCTTTTACCATTAGAACTGGACACATCTAAAAAAACAACAAAAAAACAAGAACCTGCAGTTGTATTTTTCTTCAGTCAACCTCGTCTCATGAATGTATGATGTTGTCTTGAGAATCAGAAGTCAAATCACTTCATTCTATATTTTTCATGGATTGTTATGTCACAGGCAGAAATCCAGACTTTCTAAATCTATAAACAAATGAATGCGGATGTTTTGTGTTGACTGTTTGTGTACATGTTAAAATGACTCTTGTGTGTTGTGTTGTGTTGTGTGTTCAGGCGGTGTACATGTTAAAATGACTCTTGTGTGTTGTGTTGTGTTGTGTTGTGTGTTCAGGCGGTGTACATGTTAAAATGACTCTTGTGTGTTGTGTTGTGTTGTGTTGTGTGTTCAGGCGGTGTACATGTTCTACGCTCTGGCTCTGGTGTGTGATGATTACTTTGTGCCGTCGCTGGAGAAAATCTGTGAGGTGAGACTCATGAACACGCAAACGTATCAGACACAACACTCACACAGATTATTATATTCACACACTTTGATGAGTTTGATTTTAGTTTTAGTCTTTTTTAGCTTCTCTTTTTCTCTCTCAGCGTCTCCATCTGAGCGAGGACGTTGCTGGGGCGACTTTCATGGCAGCAGGAAGTTCAGCTCCAGAACTCTTCACGTCTGTCATCGGTGAGACGCTTTGGACCAAAACCAGAATTAAACCAGGACTAAACCAGAACTGAACTAGGACTAAACCAGGACTAAACTAAACCAGAAGTGAACTAGGTCTAAACCAGGGACTAAACCAGGAATAAACCAGGACTAAACCACAACTAAAACAGAACTACACCAGGACTGAACCAAGGACTAAACCAAGACTTCACCAGGACTGAACTAGAACCGAACTAGGGACTAAATTAGGACTAAACCAGAGACTAAAACAACACTACACCAGGACTGAAACAGAGACGAAACAAGGACTAAACCAGGACTGAACCAGGACTAAACCAGGACTGAACCAGGACCAAACCAGGGACTAAACCAGGACTAAACTAGGACTAAACCAAGACTACACCAGGACTAAACCAGGACTAAACCAGGACCGAACCAGGGTCTAAACCAGAACTAAACTAGGGACTAAATTAGGACTAAACCAGACACTAAATCAGGACCACACCAGGACTAAACCAGGACTACACTAGGACTAAACCGAGACTACGCCAGGACTGAACCAGAGATGAAACAAGGACTAAACCAGGACTTAACCAAGACTACAGCAGGACTAAACCAGGACTACAGCAGGACTACAGCAGGACTACAGCAGGACTAAATCAGGACTACAGCAGGACTACAGCAGGTCTATCTGTGTGTGCTGTGCAGGGGTGTTCATCACTAAAGGAGACGTGGGCGTGGGGACTATTGTTGGATCTGCAGTGTTCAACATCCTCGTCATCATCGGAGCCTGCGGCATCTTCGCTGTCCAGGTACAACACTGTCCACACAGCGGTACACAACCTGACCACAACCAAAATATTACACAAAAGAATTCACAGATGATTACAAATAAAAGAAACTTACTCTTTAATGTGATCAAGAACTGTCTGCACTTGGTCATTTTGCAGTTATAAAGTTACAGATAAATATGGAAATAAACCAGAACCAAACTAGAACTAAACCAGGACTAGACCAGGACTAGACCAGAACTAAACCAGGGACTAAACCAGGGACTACACCCAGTATTTCACCAGGGACGAAACCAGAATATAAATATAAATATAATAAAATAAAATATAGTACCTAGATATAGTACTAAAGTAGGACTAAACCAGAACTAGGCCAGGACTAAACCAGGGACTAAACCAGGGACTAAACCTGGGACTAAACCTGGGACTAAACCACATTAAACTAGGAGTAAACCGGAATGAAAACAGGACTAAACGAGTGCTAAAATATGACTAAAATAGGACTAGACCAATGCTAGACCAGAACTAGACCAGGACTAAACCATCGACTAAACCAGGGACTAAACCAGATTAATCTAGGAGTAAACCAGATTTAAACCTACATATAGTGCCTAAACATAGTGCTAAAATATGACTAAAGTAGGACTAGACCAGAACTAGACCAGGGACTAAACCAGGGACTACACCAGAATAAACTAGAACTAAACTAGAATTAAACCTAAATATAGTACCTAAATATAGTACTAAAATATGACTAAAGTAGGCCTAGACCAGGACTAAACCAGGGACTAAACCTGGGACCACACCAGAGACTAAAACAGGGGCTAAACCAGATTAAACTGGGACTAAACCAGAATTAAACCTAAATATAATACCTAAATAAAATATGACTAAAGACTAGACCAGGACTAAACCATGGATTACAACAGGGACTAAACCAGAATAAACTAGCACTAAACCAGAATTAAACCTAAATATATTACCTAAATCTAATACTAAAATATGACTAACGTAGGACTAGACCGAGAATAGACTAGGACTAAACCAGGGACTAATCCTGGGACTAAACCAGAATTAAACCTAAATATAGTACCTAAGGAAAAAGGTGGCTTGCCCTCTCCGGGTGGGTGGGGAGTCTTTGCCTCAAGTGAGGAGTTCAAGTATCTCGGGGTCTTGTTCACGATGAGGGAAGGACGGAACGTGAGATTGACAGGCGGATCGGTAGCTTCGGCAGTGATGCGGTCGCTGTATCGGACCGTTGTGGTGAAGAGGACTGAGTCGAAAGGCGAAGCTCTCGATTTACCGGTCAGTCTTCGTTCCTACTCTCACTATGTCATGAGCTCTGGGTAGTGACCGAAAGGACGAGATCGCGGATACAAGCGCTCGAAATGAGTTTCCTCCGCAGGGTGGCTGGGTGCTCCCTTAGAGATAGGGTGAGGAGCTCAGTCACACGGGGAGGAGCTCGGAGTAGAGCCGCTGCTCCTCCACGTCGAGAGGAGCCAGTTGAGGTGGCTCGGGCATCTGTTCCGGATGCCTCCTGGGCGCCTCCCTCGGGAGGTGTTCCGGGCATGTCCCACCGGGAGGAGGCCCCGGGGAAGACCCAGGAACGCTGGAGGGACTATGTCTCTCGACTGGCCTGGGAACGCCTCGGGGTCCCCCCAGAGGAGCTGGAGGACGTGTCTGGGGTGAAGGAAGTCTGGGGAGTCCCTGCTTAGGCTGCTCCCCCCGCGACCCGGCCCCGGATAAGCGGACGAAAATGGATGGATGGATGGATATAGTACCTAAATATAGTACTACAATATGACTAACATAGGACTAGACCAGGACTAGACCAGGGACTAAACCAGAATAAACTAACACTAAACCAGAATTAAATCTAAACATAGGACTGAAATGATTAAATAAATAAAATGATGAAAATAGAACTAGACCAGTACTAGACCAGTACTAAACCAGTACTAGACCAGTACTAGACCAGTACTAGACCAGTACTAGACCAGGGACTACACCAGGAACTACACCAGGAACTAAACCAGATTATACTGGGATGAAACCAGAATTAAACCTAAATATATGACCTAAATATAATACTAAAATATGACTAAAGTAGGCCTAGACCAGGACTAGACCAGGACTAAACCAGGGACTAAACCAAGGACTACACCACATTAAACTAGGACTAAACCAGAATTAAACCAGGACTAAACTAGTGTTAAAAGATGACTAAAATAAACTAGGACTAGACTAGAACTAGACCAGGACAAGACCAGGGGCTAAACCAAGGACTAAACCAGGACTAAACTATTACTAAAATATGGCTAAACTAGGACTAGGCCAGTACTAGACCAGGATTAGACCAGGACTAGACGACAACTAGACCGGAGACTAAGACAGAATTAAACCAAGACTAAACTAGTACTAAATTATGAATAAACTAGGACTAGACTGGCACTAGACCAGGACTAAATCAGGGTGTAACCCAGGGACTAAACCAGGGACTAAACCATATCAAACTAGGACTAGACCAGCACTAGACCAGGACTATATTCAGACATAAACTCGTACTAAAGTGGAATTGAACCAAGACTAAACCAGGACTATATCATTAAATGTATTGGGAAAATGCTCAAAAATACAGTGTTTTTGTCCTTAATCCCAGCCTGAGCTCGAGTGATATAATACGACCAGGTGAAGTTTAGTCCAAATAATCTGGTGTGGGCCAAAATCTACTCTCCTTCTTTAATCTGTGTTTTTAATCCCAAACAAGAGAGAGGGACAGTGAGAGAGAGATTACGTCATCTGCACTTCATGACCCGATACAGTATTCACATTTGGATGATCTAGATACACATTTTAGTTTTCATTTTGTTCAGTTTGCAGAGACACAACTAAATCACATCAGCAACTATCACTCGAAATGTGTAAATGTGAAATGTGTTGCCTAAGAACCACAGACTGTATAAAAAAGTGGACTAAGCGACAGCGTTCAGCTCCAGTCAAATGAAGCTCATCGAGGCCGGGAATTATAGAGGCGAATTTGGAGTCGAGTTCCACATTTGGAATTCTGACTGCATGTATCATAGCAGTCAAAGAGTCCAGAGAATGTATGGATGAAACAGCGAAATAAACCCCAGGATTATGTAGAGCGTTAACATTATTATTTACAGTGGCCGGCAAGTTCTAAACACTTTGACATTTTTGTTTGAAAAACAAATTTAAGTTTGACATTTGCAAATGTGCAAACAAATTTACAAAACATGAAACATGTGTACAAGTGCTGAGACTAATTAACATGTGGGAAAAACTCAAATACAAAGCCCTGAAGTACATAGACATTTTTCACAATGACCAGAATTGATGATGTAGCAGATGTAGCGTAAAGTAACTTCCAGTTAATGGTGTCTATGGCAAAATATCTGTGGAAATGTCTGGCATATTTTCCAAAAGCTTCATAAATCTGCCCCATCACCAAATCTTCAACCAACAAGGTCCACAAAGAATAAACATTCTACCATGAAGAATTTATCCACAACTATCAAGAGAAGAAAGATAAAAACTTAAAGGAAACAACGACGACGCATTAGTGACACACTGAACAAAACTAACTTTTTGGTCATTTCCACTTTTTAGGACATTCCCTTTCCGCCAAGAACTTTCTTGTTCATCTGTTTTGGGGGTTTTGTATTTGTGTTTTTGCCACAGGTAAATTTCTCTTGGTGCTTGTACAAATGTTTCGTGTTTTGTAAATTCATTTGCTCATTTGCAAATGTGTTTTATGAAACTTGGAATTTGTTTTCAAAATGTAAATGTGTATTTAAAATTTTAATTATAATTATTAGATTTATCTAATTAAATTATTGTGTTTTAATTTTGTTTTCAAACTTGTAATTGTGTTTTGTGAAATGTAAAAGCGTTTTGCACTTGCCAGCCACTGTAATTATTAGTTTATACGACCATAAATGGAAAAAAAATTTTTAAAATCCTTACGTTCTTCATTCTCATTTTGCTTATTTTAATACGATCATAAATTATAAACTTTTGTGCCTTCTTTATCTTAATTATTAGTTTAATAATGCAGTAAAATACAAAAAAAAAAAAAAAAAAAATGTATTTAGTATGCATAGTATGTCATTTATTTTACTATATGTAAATATTTGTAAAGTTTTGCCATCAATGTACAGAAGCAACCACATCAGTTTTGAATTTTTTTAATTTTGGAAACTATGTCATGAACAGGGGTGTGTTAATATACGTTTTTCTTCCCACACCTTTTGAAATGTGCTTTTCTGTTGTTTATAATGTCTATGCTGTATGTGTATGATTATTGTTTCTGTCTTGGCACAAACTGGAAAAAAAAACAAATCAAATCAATGCGAACATTTTTAGACCAAAATGACAAGTCTGACAGCTGCAGTTACAGAGAGACAGGCAGTGTTTTTTCATTGTTTTTAGAAGGTGAATTGGAGCCAGAGTCCATGGAGCCAGACGTGCACCCATAATCACTTCCTATTTGGAATTTATACGCTACATAATTAGGCCACAGTATGATATATATATATATATATCTCGATACAGTGCACTTTCAATTTGATATGATATATTTCAAATCAGTCTGATATGGTTCAATAAAAAATAAAGGCTAAAACATGACTGTGCCACTTAAAGTCTATGTTAAATCACTTCTTGTGCACAAAGTTCATATGAAACACAAACATTTTAATCATCAAAACAAAGAAAATGTCAAATATGTCACATAAACAAGTTTCTGTCAACTAAACTGTAGTGGTGTAACAAAATATTTTAGTAAATTATACAAGATTCTCATGGTCATGGAAATCCTAGAAAAGTTGTGAAAATTGAAGTCATTTTCCAGGTCTGAAAAAGTCATGGGATTTTGTAAATCCAATGAAAGATTTGTAAAAGTCATGGAATTTGAGTATCTCTTTCACACATCTCCAGTGTTCTGTTAAGTTCTCATGAGGCTGTTCTGATTATTTCTGAACGTCTTTGCCTTTAGTTTAAAAGAGACGACAATAAATGCACTGACCGTTCCAAAACTAGAATCCCAAACCATAAGGTGAGTGGAAAGAGTTAACTTCATAATTTTCATATTTAGCCCTAAAAGTTTGATCAATTCTACACATGTAGTTGTGTAAGTCAAGGAAAATTCACTTTAGATCATGAAAAAGTCATAAAAAAGTTTTGAAATTTTATCAAAGTGGGAACCCTGAATATACCGAAAAATACTCTTGGCAATATATCGATACAGGAGTCCCCGATATCAATACTGTATTATCACATTAAACAATACGATATATATTAATATTTTGATATATTTACACACCCCTACTAAGGACATAACAACAGTTTGCACTAGACCCTCTGCTGCCCCCCTGAGGCTCCTCATGTCCGAGCTCTGTCCACACACACGTCACACTCCTGTTGACCCGAGTCTCTTTTGTCTCTGCAGACGATTCGTTTGTCCTGCTGGCCTCTGCTCCGAGACTCCACCTACTACACCCTGTCCATCTCTGCTCTCATAGTGGTAAAGTATTTAAAGTACTACACCCTGTCCATCTCTGCTCTCATAGTGGTAAAGTATTTAAAGTACTACACCCTGTCCATCTCTGCTCTCATAGTGGTAAAGTATTTAAAGTACTACACCCTGTCCATCTCTGCTCTCATAGTGGTAAAGTATTTAAAGTACTACACTGTCCATCTCTGCTCTCATAGTGGTAAAGTATTTAAAGTACTACACTGTCCATCTCTGCTCTAGTATTTAAAGTACTACACCCTGTCCATCTCTGCTCTCATAGTGGTAAAGTATTTAAAGTACTTCACTGTCCATCTCTGCTCTCATAGTGGTAAAGTATTTAAAGTACTTCACTGTCCATCTCTGCTCTCATAGTGGTAAAGTATTTAAAGTACTACACCCTGTCCATCTCTGCTCTCATAGTGGTTTTTTGAGTAAATACTTTTGATACTTTTGAGTAAATGAAGTCGTGATGGTGCTGAATTTAATGTTTTGTTGGTTTTTTTTTATATTCATGCTGTATGTTTAAACTTTTTCTATTGTTAAAATGTAAAAGCTGCTTTAATACATTTGTTGGCTACTTGTCGAATACCAGCACTAGGGCAAAAAAAACTTATCAAATTTTAAAAAATAAAATAAAATGTACATTTCCTTTAACTTGCTACCAGAGTTTCTGATTTTTAATGAAAATTGAGGTGAATCGATACATTACATGACTTTAGATCAGGGGTGGGCAACATTTTTTTCCATGGGGCCACACCAAAAACAGAAAATACTGTATTTTCCCGGCTATTAGACGCACTCTTAAGCCTCTAACCGCAACAAAAAACGACCGTGCGCCCCACAACCCAGAGCGCCCCATACACAAATCCACTCAGGTGTCCCAGCACGACTTCAGTAAACTACAAAGCCGCACCACCTGCAGAACACACAAACACACACGGAGCAGACAGCGACCGCACAGCGAAACACACCCACAGACACACTCATCACTCCACGCCGACGAGGAAAGAACAAACCGAAAAAGCAAGTGCAATGTGCCACTTCTAGACACAAGTGAACAACTGAGTCACTGTGAACACGCCGACAATCCGTTGGTCCCAGACACACCCTCCCTACACGCCACAACTGAACAAAGCCCAGAGTCACCGTGAACGAACAAACAAACAAAACCACTCACCCATCACACTGTTGGGTTTCCTTTAAAGTCCAGTGCGGTTTATTTGTGAAAAAAGTTAGAAAATAGACCATTTAATGACAGTGTGTCTTATAATCCAGAGCGACTAAGAGCCCTGAAAATACAGTATTATGAGGCCAAAATGCTTAACTCAGTTCTGCATAATATGAATTGTATTTCTTTATAAAAAGCAGTAAACAGCATTGTTTTGATGAGCTCGTATCATTGATAAGAGTTTATGCTCTGACTAAACAATGAAAAAGTGAGGTTGCCTTATAAAAAATGTCATTTAGAAAGCACCTCTAAAATAAAAGTAATGCAGCTTTAATCCATGCATGAGGTCAAATTATGCAATATGTTTATTTTGTCATTGAAAATGATGCCGAGGTCTGCTTTAAAACATATTTTTGTGTCATTTTGTGCATCTTCTTTCTGAAAATATTGACTTCAACATTTTAATTGTCATTGAGGCAGTGATCCTCGACTGAACCCTGCGGGGAATGGGAAGCCTTGCCTATTCTGTATTTCTAAGTCGAAACCGTTATTGCCTCATAATAATGTGTGTTCTGTTTTTGTGTTTTTGCTTCTTTCCCACAGTTCATATACGATGAGAAGGTGGTCTGGTGAGTTCATGTTCCTCTGTGAAGCTCCTGTCCGTCTCTGTTAAACCTGTGTTCTGATCTAAACTCTGTGATTTCAGGTGGGAGGCCCTCACGCTGATCCTCATGTACTTTGTCTACATTCTAATCATGAAGTGAGTCTGGAAACACATTTACATAGAGTTAGTTTAAAGTGCACGTGACAGCTTACAACACTCATTTCACATTTCACATCCTGCCTAGTTTTGTCTAATTTCTCAATGTTGGTGAAGATAAGAAGGTAGTTAATTCTGATTAGACTAATACATGAATTATAACACTTTTATTTTATTGATGTAAGGCTGAAATTGGCAGAAAAATGTATTTGTTGTGTGTAAACTTTTTGTATTTTTTATGGAAGATACTGTGTTTCATCGCATTTTGAATTTTAAATGCCGTTGAAACTTTGAATTTTTTAACTCTGAAAAAACATATTTGAATGTCACTGGAACATTTAAGTGTACATTTTCAGTTTTTAAAATTCAATATAAAAAAATGCAGCTCTTAAATATTCTGCACAAATATTTTCAAGCCCTCAAATTCAACAGTCAAAATTCACAGTGTAAAATTTGCAGTGAAAAAATTAGCAGGAAGATCCAAGTGCCAAGGCAGAAGCAATCGATCCAAAGTGATCTAACTTAAGACGGGCGTACACTGTGCGATTTTTGACCCTTTTTGAGCCGATTTTTCACTCACGTCTATTTTGGGGATCAGGCCGAGTTTTGGCTTCATCGTGTTTCGTGTAGTAAACATGGGGTAAAGAACCGATTAATACCTCACGACCAGCTCCCGATCGGCATTCGTAGGTCACAAGAAAATCAAACTTGTTTGAAATCCATTCGCCTCTTATGAGGGTTTCACTCTGTTGAAGTCGTTCCACGAGCCGATTTGCCAGAATCTGTCAGACTGAGCATGTGCGGATACAGAAGCAGAAGCAGGATATGAGGTTGTGGAGGACGATGGCGCCGGCGAGTGTTTTGGACACAGGACATGGAGGCGCAGCTAATGGAGCAACACAGAACACAAGTTTGGTGAAAAACTTGATGCTACTTACCACCAGTTCCTTCTGAAAAACTGACAACCTGTACTGCCCACGTCTGTCCACGTCTGCCCACGTCTGCTCACGTCTGTCCACGTCTGCCCACGTCTGTCCACGTCTGCCCACATCTGTCCAGCCATTTCTTTGACCAGATTCGTTGGCTCTTCTTTTTGGGCTTGTCTGCGCAGAGAATGGCACAAATTGCCAAGGCAGTGCGTCTGTTTTTTGACTGGATCAGCATTGTGTCTCTGGTTTTCTAATTCTGTGGTTTTCTTCTTTGTGGTTTTCTTTGTGGTTTTCTACTTCAGGGAACAAAACTCTGGTCGTTATGTGATTGTACAGTGTGCGCCAGCAGGTCACGTCCGAGCATCAGTTCGTACAGTGTGAGAACATGATTCGTGGCTGTGAACTTTTAAACCCTGCGATTTGGTCGTACAGTTTAAGATGGGGCTGAGTGACATGACCAAAAATATCGCACAGTGTACGGCCGGCATTAGTAACAAGCAGGAAATGATGTCGTGAACTAGGGATGGGCATGATTAATCGATTAATCGATAATTGATCATTAAGAATTTCATCGATTACGTTCATTTTAATCGACAAACTGAATGTAGGTTGCTGTGTGTAGTGTGACCAAACAGGTGTGTACATGTGTCTCTGCATCAGAAGGAGCGAGACACAAACAGTGGGTCAGTCTGCAACGTACTGAAACACAAATGTGGATTTAACGATGACTTGTACAAGAAATTCCACACTTTCCGTTGTGTTCGGGACAAGTGTGAGTCCATGTGCACAGTGTATAAAGCAGCACATATGTTTCTGTGTCCAGTGGGAAAAAGTTTTACCAGGTGAGAGTCGCTCAATGTGGATGACGAGGCCCCGCCCCCCTCCCCCCGTACGCTGTCCTGGTTTTGACAAACACAAATCTGGTCACACTAACCTGTATTCACCTGAGTCATGTCTTTTAATCTGACAGAAGTTGAACCACATCAGCGACACAAGAGCTGTAGTTTTATCTTCGCTTAATTTATGCAAATTAGTGATGCAGTTTTAAGTTTTGTTTCTGTGAGAGTTGAACAAAACTGAATTAAACACATTATAATGTCAAACGGGCTGATGTGGCTCTAGAGTGGTTATGGTTTATATGTCATAATGTTGAATTTATTTATGCAGATTAGTGCAGATAGTAATAATAATGATGATCATTTTAATATAAAAACGTTAATGATTAATCGATAATCGATCGTTAATTCTTCCGATGATCGATTAAGAAAATTTCATCGAATGCCCATCCCTATCGTGAACCAATCTGATTGGTCAGAATTCGCCTCATCAAAACCTCATCTCTTTTATTCCTTATTAAGTGTAAACTCCGCCCACAGATGAGAGCAGCCAATAGGAAACAGCCTCTGTCCTCCTCACTCACAGTATCGCTGTTTCTGTCTTGGCGTCTTGGATCTTTACTGTGAAATTTTTCACTGAGAATTTTACACTCTGAATTTTGACTGTTGAATTGAAGGGCTTGAAAATATATGTTCTGAATATTTAAAAGGTGAAATTTTCATTCTGCATTTGAAACCTATTGAAAAAGTCTACTTAAAAGTTCAACAACTCAAATTCAGAATAAACATAATCTTTTTTTAAAGTTAAAAAATTCAAAGTGTGAAATTCAGCTGTATTTAAAATTCAAAATCTACAATCTATAAAACTTTTCTTTGCAAGATTTTTTACTCAAACTGATGTAAAAGCAAATACTTAATATTTGAGCACAGGTACTACTCCACCAAACCAAGTCCTTCTAAAAAAATCATGAAAACCTGTCATACGCGCTTTGTTTGGTTTGATATTTAGTTTATATTTGACTCTTGTATTTTCCAGATGTAATTCCTACGTGGTTCGGTTTTTGGAGCGGAGGAAAAAGAACTCATCAGCTCTGAGAAACGGAGCGGCCAATAACACGGAGCAGGAGGACGGAGAGGCCACAGCTGTACTGCTCAAGAAAGGTCAGAGGGCAAATCTTACACTGACCTCACTGAGCTTCATTTACACTCAAATATGTCACCAAGAGGGAAAGGTGCATTAAACCATTTGTCCCTAACTTCCCTAACAGTGACATCATGCTGGGGGTGTTCTACATGTATGTGTATTTGTGGAATGTTCACCAGTTACCATGGAGACCCAGTGCACACATTACAAAACACTGCCAAAAAAGTTTTAAGACAGTTTTGACAATTCAGAAGAAATACAAAATGGATTTAAACAACACATTTTTAGCACAAATCAGCCTCAGACAGAGCAGTGCCTACAGTTTTTATTTATTTATTTATGTTTATTAAGGACATCACAATCGCATTAGACAAGCCAGATGCATTGCTTTGAGTGTTTTAGCACAAGTGCGATTTTTCAACACCTGTCCATATAAAAATATAAACTACACACATAAAAACAGAGAATACAAGACACATAAATTACATACAGATAAAATATATACAGAACATTTTCACTGGATGCAGTTTTGATTGGAAACATACAATAATTTTAATTTCCTTTTAAATTTGTTGTTGTTGGTTTTCAATTTTAAATGAGCTGGTGAATCTTTCCACAGACTGGTGCCTTTAAAAGAGAACGAGGACTGACCCAGAGTCGTCCTGTACAGAGGAACAACACAATCACCACGAGTAGCTCCTCTTGTGTTCGCTCTGTGTGAACATTTTATGGTCCTGGCAAATTCTGAGTGCAGTGGTGTATCCCAGTTAAGACACTTCAAAAATAATTTAAGATTATTAAAATTGATAAAGTTTTCAAAGTTAAAAAGTTGATGTTTCTTTTGTAATGTCACAGTGGTGCCAGTGTTTGGGCTTTTTGTCAAGGATCTTAAGGGTCAGTTTGTAAAATGATCAAAGTGGTTTCAGTGGAGTTGAGGAGCCTGGGACCATGAGGTGATACAATAAGACAGATGAGAGAAGATCATTGTGTTCATGAATAGTTTAGAGGTGTGGAGCGATAGATCTTTATGTATGAAACAAAAGCAACTGAGACTAGTCTTAATCTTCTTCACCAAGTATTTTGTGTGACTGGTAAATTTTAAATTTTCATCTAGAATGAGGCCAAAGTATTTAACTTCAATGACTGCTTGAATTTAGCATCACACCCTCAGGGAATGTCGCAAAGTATTAGTACTTTTGCGATGCGACTAGTATTTTAGTACTTTTTAAATGTGGACAGTACACAGCAGACTTCAGTTTGACGTCAAGAACTGCTTATACAACATTGATGCCTTCACATGGTTTGGGAAAGATGATCCTTTGCAGTTTTTTTATGAGTGGAAAAGTAATTTTTTCATTCATTCATTCATTCAAGTCCAGAATTTGAGTGTCTCTTTCAAGCAGCTCCGTCGTTCTGTTAAGTTCTCATGAGGCTGTTCTGATTATTTCTGAACGTCTGCACCTTTTGTTTAAAAAAGATGACAATAAATGCACTGACAGGATTTTGAATGTTAAAAACTATAATCCCAAACCATAAGGTGAGTGGAAAGAGTTCACATTTCAGATTTAGCCCTAAAAGTCTGATCAATTCTACACATATATGTGCTGTAAAGTCATGGAAAATTCACTTTAGTTTCATGAAAAAGTCATGGAAAAGTTTTGAAATTCAGTCAGTGATAAAGAGCGGGAACCCTGGAGACATGGTGAGCCCCGACCTGTTACTCAGTGCTCACCACAACACTTTTGCTGCTCTCTGACATGTTGAAAGGTCAAAGTTTATCTCATCTCGACAGTTCTCCAGTGTTTTCCAACTTTCCTGTTCAAATTACAATATAAGTGTGTGTTCACGTGCAGTTTTGATGTTGGTTTTTGGTGTTTACGATAATTACCACAGAGCGTGAAGGCAGCATACACCTGTACTGGGGCAGGACACATTTAGATCAGATCCTTGGGGTAAAATGGTTGAGTGGTTCTGATGTCTGTGACTGTCTCTTCCAGCGAATCACCAGAGGAAGACGTCTGTGCTGATGGTGGACGAGCTGCTCAGCGCCTATCCACACCAGCTCTCCTTCTCCGAGGCCGGGATGAGGATCATGATCACCAGCCACTTCAGCCCCAGGACCAGACTCACTATGGCCTCACGCATGCTCATCAACGAGGTACTGGACCAGGACCGGACCAGGACTGGACCAGGACTAGACCAGGTCCGGACCAGGACTGAACCAGGACTGAACCTTGACTAGACCAGGACTGGACCAGGACTGGACCAGGACTGAACCAGGACTGAACCAGGAATAAATAAGGACTGAACAAAGACTGAACCAGAAGTGTACCAGAACTGGACCAGGACTAAATGAGGACAGAACCAGGACTGAACCAGGTCTCCCCCCTTCCTCTCTCTTCAGAGGCAGCGTCTGATCAGCTCCAGGACCCTCACAAACGGAGACTCGGATGCGGTGGGGGTGAAGGCCGGTCTACGGAAGAGCGCAGAGAACGGCCTGACGTCAGCCGCGGGGGGAGGGGCCGACCGCCGTGACGACCGCGAAACAGGAAACGACACGGAGAATGAGGACAACGACAACAACGAAAACGACGAAGACGAGGAAGAGGAGGAGGGAGAGGGGCCTTTTGTGCCCTTCCAGTGTCCAGGTAAAACTAGGACGAGGATTTAACAAGAACTAAACCAGGTTCAAACAGCACTTCACTGGGATCACATCAGGATTAAACTTAGGCTGCGTTCAGACTGCAGCCTGAAGTGACCCAAATCCCATTTTTTGGCCTCTATGTGACCTGAATCTGATCTTTTAATGACAGTCTGAACGACACAGATCCGATTTTTTCAAATGTGACCCAGGACACTTGGATATGTGCTCCTGAAACTGATACATATCTGATCTTTTGACATGTGACTTCAGTCTGAACGGCCAAAGTGCATTCATCCACCTACACGTTATCAACAAGACACAAACGTCACTATTCTGCGCTGAAGTAGGTGAAAATTGTTAATGAACTCCGTGTCACTGAAGTGAAGCACATCACCACTCACCACTCTTGGCTCCGGCTCCACATCCACACGTTCCTTTCAACAGACGTCGCTGCCGCTGTCCCACAAAACACCACGGCCAAAAACCTCGTCCTTCTCCTTCTCAATCTCCTCTTTAAAACAAGTAAGTTGTTCATGTTCTGGCTCCGGTACGAGAGGAACTTTAAAATCTCCAGGTGCTCAATGCTGCGTCCATGTTTGGACAACTTCTGTAAACACAGAGACGCTCGCTGGGGTTGACGTCGTCGTGTCTCCAGTCACATGTGGGACACTTTCGGGTTGTTTAATGTTCACACTGGAGTCACATACAAGTCACATTTGATTGGAAATGTGAACGACCTCACAAAAACATCAGATTTCACCAAAAAATCGGAATTGAGCGTTAAGCCCTGCAGTCTGAATGTAGACTTAGATCTTAACCAGGACTAAACCAGGACTAGACCTCAGATTTGGTTTAAACTGGAAGAAGCTACTTGGATGAGACAAAACGTACAGTATTAACTTTAAAACCCTCCGACTGATGGAATTCCAAGTCCTATATTACCATAGGGAAATTTATTTTATAAAATCAGAGACCAGGAACCGACATTTCCTGTTGAAAGTCAAGTTCTAGTAATAACAATAGAACAGAGCAAGTTTAACAAACTCTCCATCTCACTCCAAATCACTAAATCCATTCAGTTCTTCATCCTCGGTGTCACTTCTGAGCAACTCGGCCTCAACCTCCGGAGGTAAACAGAGCGACGCCTCCTCTTCTGTGTCGCTGTCGTCAGACTCAGCATCAGTTCCAGTTAGAATTATTCGGGTCTTTCTGAATCCCGACAGGATGGTTTTAGTGTCACTGAAGTCCAGGCTTTGTCCATCCATCCAGTGACTTCAGGAAAGTTTCCTGGTGCATCCTCCTGGTGTCACAAGCCAGGGTCAAAGCACCATAGTAGCAGTAATTAATATCACCATTTTCTTAGAGCTGCATTACGATTGTTGTGATCACGATTCATGTAACTCTTTTATACAGTCTTTAAGAGGTGACTAAAGCTGAATGTGCTGTATGTATCTGAAAGTTTATTCCTCACTGTGATTGCTTGTATCCAGCTGTCAGGAGGAGTGGGTGATGGAAAGTGTCAGTTTATGAGCACAGAGCTGCACTGACAAAAAGTGGAGAGTCAGAATATGTCCATTTAACCAAAATACTGTCACAAGGATGAGATCGTTCCATTTTTATTATCACATCTACACCAAAGTTTCTTCAGTGAACACGCTGTCCTCTCATTTGCAGATGAGTGGTTTTAAATCTCAGTGTTTTGCATTTTCCAGGTGGAGTGTTGAATAAGTTCAAGTGGCTCTTGGCCTGGCCCCTCAGCCTCATCTTTTACTTCACCATCCCAAACTGCTCGAGTCCGCGCTGGGAGAACTACTTCATGCTCTCCTTCCTCTCCTCCACCATGTGGATCGCAGGCCTCTCCTACATCATGGTCTGGATGGTGAGTGTGTGTGCATACCACAGCTTTTCTATTATTATTATTTTTTTAATTGAGTCATTTTGCAGCACTACAAAACTAAACTAAACTGCTAATAGACTACAGCTGCATGGATCATGACTGAAAGAGTTTAGGCTGAAGTAAAAAGTACTTCTAATGCCAAACCCTACACATGCATCACAAATTTCGGACTTCCAGTCATTGCGCATTGCATACTGCGAAAAAGTGAGCATCAAACTGCCATGTTTGTTTTCCCAGTTTTCCCACATTACATTATAATATTACTGTATTTAAAATGTCAAACATTACTTTACTGTTGCAGCACTTTTAATTTACTCTCACCAAAATAACTGTGAAGATGCTGAACTATTGCGCCGTATATGGACTAAACCAGGACTAATCCAGGACTAAACCAGGACTAAACCAGAACTGAACCAGGACTGAACCAGGACTAAACCAGGACTGAACCAGGACTAAACCAGGACTGACCCTAGAACTGAACAGACTAAACCAGAACTGAACCAGGACTGAACCAGGACTAAACCAGAACTGAACCAGAACTAAACTAGAACTGAACCAGGACTAAACCAGGACTAAACCAGAACTGAACCAGGACTAAACCAGGACTAAACCAGAACTGAACCAGGACTAAACCAGGACTAAACCAGAACTGAACCAGAACTAAACTAGAACTGAACCAGGACTAAACCAGGACTAAACCAGAACTGAACCAGAACTAAACTAGAACTGAACCAGGACTAAACCAGGACTAAACCAGAGCTGAACCAGGAATGAACCAGGACTAAACCAATACTAAACCGGGACCAAACCAGAACTAATCTTGGACTAGAACTTAGAATCTAGGAGTGCACCTGAGAGAACCCTCGAGTGTGATCGGGCGTCAGCTGCGTTGAGCTCCCTGGAGTGTGGAGTTGTGCGCCGGTCCTTTCGCTCGTGATCACGGTTTGACACGGGCGTGTCTCTGCTGATATCGCTGTGATTTTAGCAAATTTGTATGAAGAAAATGAAAAACCCACCACTTCAGTCCAGGTTCAAAAAGCTGTAATGCTGAACATTAGTGCGTTACAGCAAAAAGCAACACTTTACAGTCATTTGTTACTTTTATAACACGTTACTCCCAACACTGTCTACAGGGTAAGACTTTTGAAAAATCATCACTCAGATCGTCCCATACACTAACCCCTCCAACAGAAATACAGTCTTTTTTTTTTCATTTTTAATTAATACTGAATTAATACTTCCTTTGGTGTACTTCCTTGTAGTTGTGATAAATATTTAGTTTAGTGCTGGTTTAGACCTGGTTTAGACCTGGTTTTAGTTCTAGTTTAGACCTGGTTTAGTCCTGGTTTAGTCCTAGTTTAGACCTGGTTTAGTTTCTGGTTTTAGTCATGTTTTAGTCCTAGTTTAGACCTGGTTTAGTCTTGGTTTTAGTCCTGGTTTAGTCCTGGTTTAGTCCTAGTTTAGACCTGGTTTAGACCTGGTTTTAGTTCTGGGTTTAGTCCTGGTTTAGTCTTGGTTTTAGTCCTGGTTTAGTCCTAGTTTAGACCTGGTTTAGTCCTGGTTTTAGTCCTGGTTTTAGTTCTAGTTTAGTCCTGGTTTTAGTTCTAGTTTAGTCTTGATTTTAGTCCTGGTTTAGTTCTGGTTTTAGTCCTAGTTTAGACCTGGTTTAGACCTAGTTTTAGTCCTGGTTTTAGTTCTAGTTTAGTCCTGGTTTTAGTTCTAGTTTAGTCTTGATTTTAGTCCTGGTTTAGTTCTGGTTTAGTCCTAGTTTAGACCTGGTTTAGACCTGGTTTTAGTCCTGGTTTTAGTTCTGGTTTAGTCCTGGTTTAGACCTGGTTTTAGTCTTGGTTTTAGTCCTGGTTTAGTCCTAGTTTAGACCTGGTTTTAGTCCTGGTTTAGTCCTAGTTTAGACCTGGTTTAGACCTGGTTTTAATCCTGGTTTTAGTTCTGGTTTAGTCCTGGTTTTAGTTCTGGTTTAGTCTGGTTTAGTCCTGGTTTACTCTTGGTTTTAGTAGTATTTTAGTCCTAGTTTAGACCTGGTTTAGTCTTGGTTTTAGACCTGGTTTAGTCTTGGTTTTAGACCTGGTTTAGTCTTGGTTTTAGTCCTGGTTTAGTCCTGTATTAGTCCTGGTTTAGACCTGGTTCAGTTCTGGTTTTAGTTCTAGTTTAGTCTTGATTTTAGTCCTGGTTTAGTCCTAGTTTAGATCTGTTTTTTTGTTGTTTTTTTTTTTTTTTTTCATTTTGAATTAATACTGTGTTAATACTTCCTTCGGTGTACTTCCTTGTACTTGTGGTAAATATTTCTAGTACTTTCACAAGTGTAGAGCTGTTGCCTGTGATGCAGAATACAAACATCTCCTATACTTGATAAAAATGTGAGTCTGGTCAAGTTCAGGTGAGTGTGATTGACAGGTGGATGAGCCAATCACAGACACGCTCCATCTGGATCCAAAAAAAAAAAAAACCAAACATGACTCACGAGGAAAAAAGAAAGAAAATCACATCACAGGGGAGTGAAAAACAGCTCCCTGATTCTGTAGATTCAATGATCAAAGCAGTAAAGATGAGGGATGTTTGAAGTTGGTTTTGGAGCGGCACAAAGGAATCCCTGCGTCAGTGTCATCATCCCTCACTCTCGTCACGTCTCTCTCTTTGTGTTTTTCCAGGTGACGGTGATCGGTTTCACCCTGGGCATCCCCGACGTGATCATGGGCATCACGTTCCTGGCGGCGGGCACCAGTGTCCCAGACTGCATGGCCAGCCTGATCGTCGCGCGCCAGGGTCAGTACACTTTACTCCAAACCAGGGATTCACGACGTTTGTTATCCTGCGTCTCCCCAAAGCACGTCTCACACTCCAGTACCGCTCCATCCTGGACCTGGGTTTATTTGGGTTTTTCTAAAAGAGGTTCCAGGTGGTTAAACACAGGGACAGTCAGGATTTCCTGTAGATCAGGGGTTTCAAACTGGGTGAAAGTGAGCCTCCCCTTAGAGACCCGGGTTAGTCCTGTTTTAGATCTAGTTAAATCCTGGTTTAGAACTGGTTTTAGTCCTGGTTTAGTCCTAGTTTAGAACTGGTTTAGTCCTGGTTTTACTCCTGGTTTAGAACTGGTTTAGTCCTGGTTTTACTCCTGGTTTAGTCCTGGTTTTAGTCTTGGTTTAGATCTGGTTTTAGTCCTGGTTTTAGTCCTGGTTTTAGTCCTGGTTTTAGTCCTGGTTTAGTCCTGGTTTTAGTCCTGGTTTAGTCCTGGTTTAGTCCTAGTTTATTGCTGGTTTAGACCTGGTTTAGTCCTAGTTTAGAACTGGTTTAGTCCTGGTTTTACTCCTGATTTTAGTCCTGGTTTAATCCTAGTTTAGTGCTGGTTTAGATCTAGTTTTTGTCCTGGTTTAGTCCTGATTTTAGTCCTGGTTTAGACCTGGTTTTAGTCCTGGTTTAGATCTGGTTTTAGTCCTGGTTTAGTCATAGTTTAGACCTGGTTTAGACCTGGTTTAGTCCTAGTTTAGTCCTGGTTTAGTCCTGGTTTAGTCCTAGTTTAGTCCTAGATTAGTCCTGGTTTAGACCTGGTTTTAGTCCTGCTTTAGACCTGGTTTTAGTTCTGGTTTAGTCCTGGTTTAGTCCTAGTTTAGTCCTGGTTTAGTCCTGGTTTAGACCTGGTTTTAGTGCTGGTTTAGACCTGGTTTAGTCCTGGTTTAGACCTGATTTTAGTCCTGGTTTAATCCTAGTTTAGTGCTGGTTTAGATTTAGTTTTTGTCCTGGCTTAGTTCTGGTTTAGTCCTGATTTTAGTCCTGGTTTAGTCCTGGTTTAGTCCTGGTTTTAGTCTTGGTTTAGATCTGGTTTTAGTCCTGGTTTTAGTCCTGATTTTAGTCCTGCTTTTAGTCCTGGTTTAGTCTTGGTTTAGTCCTAGTTTAGTCCTGCTTTTAGTCCTGGTTTAGTCTTGGTTTAGTCCTAGTTTAGTCCTGGTTTTAGTCCTGGTTTAGTTCTGGTTTAGACCTGGTTTAGTCCTGGTTTAGTCCCGGTTTAATCCTGTTGTGGTCTGGTGCAGGTATGGGCGACATGGCGGTGTCCAACTCCATCGGCAGTAACGTGTTTGACATCCTGGTGGGTCTGGGTTTGCCCTGGGCCCTCAAGACTCTGGCCATCAACTACGGATCAGACGTGAGTACAGAGGTTGTGGGTTAGACTCCTGATGCCTCTGGGTGTTACTGTGGCAGAGTGGTTATCCTGTCTCCTCCTCTCAGTCAAGAGGTTGTGGGTTAGATTCCTGATCTCTCGGTGTTTAGTTTAAACATTGTGACTCTTATCTATGGGAGCAGTGCGTTTGTTTTGGGAAAATATTGACCCTCATCTCCCTAAACCAAATATTAGTATCTCAACTGTACACAATACAGAGCAGCGATTCATTTCATACTGCAAACAGGGAATATCTGTGTGATCATTATGTGACATGTTCAAAACTATATAATTAAACTGACCAAA